TTTAAGTTTTTCTTTTTTTAACTTACCAAGACAATTTATGAAATTGATGAAAAAAAATAATATTTGAAAACAACATATTAACAGTAAGGCAATTGAACTTTCAGACTTCCACATTCTCAAACGAATACAGCATGATTTATTTTTTCTTGAACATTTAAAACAAGTGAAGATTAAATTTTTTTTTTTTTTTGCTTCTACATTTATTTTGCCAATTAAATGCGAATTGGCATTCACAAATGAGCGAAAAAATATTAAAGATCAGCTACACGAAGTCGAAATGCTACGCAAATAATCCTAACGTCTGTAATTCTATCCAATACTTGCATATCCTTGAAAAGTTTAACGTGTTTGGGACAAGTTCCTATATATTTATGAAATATATAAATTTAAAAATTATATTTCTTTTCTGCATTTAGTTGAGCAACTTATCTATTGGGTAATTTCCACTTTCCCTTTATCAAAATCATTTAGGAGTTGCATGGTTTCACCACATACCCCAAGACACCTGTAAATTCTTGACTTTATTCTCCGTATAGCTAACAATGCAGCTAAATATGATTAGTGCAGCTAAAAATATAATAAAACATTGCATGCATATATGTAATAAGATTATGCATTGTAGTTCTGTAGATCTGAATTGAAAATGATTAAAAATAGAAATTCAATCATTCATACCATAAGGAAAAATAAATCGTGATACATTAGTTTATTAATAGCCTGATTGAAGCAGGGAAAAAATTTGGCTATAATAACTGTCTTAATTCCTCACTCAATTGCAATCACTAATTACTCAACAGAAAATCATTAAAATATGGCTCTCTTTACTCGTTACCTCTTGCTTTTGCTAGCTGCCATCTTCTTTTGCACCTCCGTGCTTGCCTTTACAAGTACGCCGCCTCTATCCGGGATCAAAGTTTTAGCACCAAAGCCAGGTACTGCTTTTAAGAGAGATAAACCAATCACCATTAAAATCCAAACCGAAAAACCACGAGGTACGAGAATTTTTCTAATTCGAAAATAAAAAAA